ATATAATCTTCTGTGTTATATTCTCTTTTGTGCAAAGGACTGCAAAATCCTTGGTCAGCTCTGGATATGTTCCTGACAACACTAGAAGCTGAGCATACTTCACAATAATTGAGGGTGAAGATACACAAGAAGAACTACATCCCATTTTTGCTATCTCCTGGATATCTCACTTATCTTGAGCTGACTTTGACTGTCACCAGGCACTTCTGTAAGAATGAAATTCAGCAAAAATGGACTTTTTTTTTTGGTACAATAGTAAGTTTAATTAGTTCAAGAGTCAAATTACCAATATGTCAGCAAGAGGAGTGAGGCAGGATGTGTGGATAGCAGAGAGTCTGTGAGAGAAGAGCAGAGGAAAAAGAAATGGGAACCATTTCTTTAATCATCAGTTTGACTAGATCAGAAGTCCCATGACTCTACTACAACTAACATTTAGCACAACACAGAAGCAGAACTTAAATTAGCACACTTTCATATCTGCTCACTTAGAATTCTATTTTCATATATATTACTAGTAACCAGATCATGCAGAGAAGGGTAGAGATCCTGATCACTATAATTTGAAACTGCGTCTTTAGGGTCTTAACTAAAAGACTCAGAAAACTGCATTGGAACATCTATAGACACTGCTTTATTAGTCTTAATGAGTAATATTTTAATGCGTAAAATATTACATTACTGTAATAATGTATATATGTAATAATACTGTAATAATGTAATAATAAAAATAAGTGCTTATTTTGTGAGCACTTAAAAAACAGAATGTTGTCAGGAAGTCTTTGTTTAGTTCCTATCAATCCACACAGAACTTCTTCTATCATCTTCAAATATAACACTAGTGTATTCTCCTTCTGACTAATCCCATAGTCTTCAATACTTCCTTAAAGTGGCCCAGAAGCTTGATAAGATCCTCATATTTAAGTGACCATTTTTATTTTATCTTTTCAAGCAAATAAATATATTTTCTTTCTTTCTTATATTTTCTTTCCAAAAGAAATGACTTCTCTTCAGCAGTGAAGAAAATTATTAAGAAACCTAGAACTAGCCAATGAAGAACTAATGATTTCAGTGAACTAAGAAGTTATTTCATATGTAACATCTTAAGCATGAAGCATGTTATCAATTCCATTAGCTCCTGGTTTACAACAACACAGTCCTTGTTTCTAGAAATATATTTAAATACAACATTCTCACCATTTTATCATGACTACATTATTACTTGACATTATTTTCTCTCACTGTAGTGGTAGGAAAAAAAAAAAAATCAGCCTTAAAATTATTTTCAACAACCAATTCAAGATAAGAATAACTTGTATGCAAGCTAGCTACAAACTCACTGTGGAATAAATTTCTAAAATGCCCAAGGCCCAATTCGATATTCTCTGTGTGTCCTCACAAAAGCTCTCCAACATTTTGACAGAGCACTGTATATCATGGTATGCAGCAAACTGCAATTTTATTTTATGTTTTTTTTTTTTACAATTTTCCTCAGAAACAAAACAAAACAAAAAACAACAAAAAACAAAAACAAATCAACAAACAAACAAAGCCCATACTTGGTTCCTATTTTCGTGGAGGAGATTTTAACTTACGTTGTCCTCCAAGACTTCTTCCTGGGATTAGGCTTTAATAGGATTACTTAGGAAACAATTTTAAAGTGACAGTACCAGCCACATTTGGACAGACATGGTGGTTAAAAGGTAGGTGTACTTTTTTAGTTCTGCTGTTCTCTTTATCCACTCTTTCAAAGAACAAAAAAAAGACACCACATAACAGAGAAATCTCTATATATCAGCACAGTTAGTGCTGTCTGGGGCACCCAACAGCTGCAAATCAGCATTTCAGTAAAGTTGTTCTCATCCACTTTTTTCCATCCAGGAAAAAAGTCAGTACAAGAAATCACCAGCAGACTCCATCCCCACATCAGCCATAAACCATGAAAATGCACTCTCAAAGCATTAGGCAACCTGGCACTACAGAAAAGAGAGGAAGAGCAGTGGTGGCAATTCCAGCTTGCATTCATCAGGCCTCTAGGCTGATCAGTTTTCTTCTCATTGGACACAATTTAACATTAAACTCGTGATTTCTAAATGTTCTTAGTTTCACTGCTTTAAACCTTTGAATCCTCTCCAACACATAGGTATTTCCACTGAAGCATAAAGAGCCACTGAGCAAATGTGCACGTAGAAAATCAATGGGGAAGAAACAAAGTGATAAAACAAAAAAGACAGTAATTTTGAAATAGGACTTGAAATCACTTGAACTTAAGGTAAATGGTAAGAACAAAAGTTGCTCACAGAAACACTTTCATTTATAGCAAGCTCCCTTAAGAACTGACTAACAGAAGACAACAAAGTACAACACCTCTCAAGTAGCAGATATTCTGCTCATGTAACTTGAACCACTGCTGCAAATATAGAAAGAGAACACAAATTTGGCTCTGCAGCAGTAAGTAGCACATGGAGATTCCCACCGTCCATCAGTCAGAGAACATACATACAATACTCTCTATTCAAAATGAGTAACTGTTTATTTCAGTGTTTCTCATTTATACAATTAGATCATTTTCATTAATAAAAAAATGTTAAGCACGCATCTGTATCCTGTTTCTGTTTCCTGAAATTTTTAACTGCATAACCCATCAGCAAGGAGCATAAATTGATTGTAATTTATAAAGTAACACACGCAGAAGTGAAACGACAGTGAGGAATCATTCTTGCAACCTCCCTGAAAAAGTAAAACACATTACAAAACAATCTTCTAAAAGCACCTGCCTTTGGCATTTATCTTGACAATCTTCTAAAGATGTACTGAATAATTAAAATTCCAGAAGCACTCATGAGCTCAGTGCAATGCCATGCATGCCACAGCCCTAACAAATCCCAGGATGTTCTGCACAACTGGACAGCTACATCATCAACTTGCTGATATGGTATTCCAAATGCAGGTGTCACATAGATGAAAATAAATACATATGCTTATTTTGAAGGCCTCTCTCAAGGAATAATCTACTGAAAATAAGCACATTTTAATTATATTATTATATATTTTAATTTAAATATATGATTAGTATTTGTTTTACAAGTAAGATGCTACCAGCATTTAAAAATCTATCTGTAAGCAAATCTTTCTGTGCAAACCTCGACAAGAGAATGCAAAACCAAACAGGAGGAAAAGTCATATGGACGCTATTAAGAGTCGGTGATGTAAGTCAATGGTTTAGCCTCTTCTGGAATGATACAAGCTATAGAAAAAAAAACCTTCCTCAGCAAAAATCCTTGAAAAACTTCATAGGGGGAAAAAAAGAAAGGAAAGAGAGAGACTTCGAGTACAGGAAATTTAAATGCTCATCTGTTTCACCAGTGAAAGAAAAAATAAAAAACAACTGGATATGAAAAAATATGATAGAACATTTAAAATAGCAAGACTAACATGGTAATCAGGTTTGTTCTCCATATGTCATAGCACATCTGCAAAGTGGCACTAAATGAAAGCAAGAGATAGGAAATTAAAAATCAATTAAAGGAATTAACTGCCATGTATTGCACAACTGTCCTGTCTTGCCACAAGAACTCACTGTGGACATCAAGCATTCCCAGAGTTACAAGAATAACACATTTTGGAAAATATATGCCTCATAATATAATTCTTTAAGCATTCAGATTAAAGAAGTGTTGGCACAGATTACAGTGTTTCCCCCATTCCTTCCTAATCCCAAATTTGCCATAGCATTCCTAACTCTTAAGTGTGTTGAGGAAACTTTTCAGAGGGCGGGATGTTGGACTACATCACTACATCACATACTTTGAAAGCAGTTCTTGTATTTACAGAGCTTTTTCGGGGTGTTAGAAGTTTTGTGCACGTTTTTAGATTCTTCATTAAAACAAAAAGTTGCTGCTTAAATCACTTGAAACAGCAACTCACATAAGGCAGCATTTATAAATCTGCAGCTAGCTGGTGAATACAGTTCACAATCGATATTCAGAACCATTTGTCTGCCACAGCAAAAGCGACAATTCCTCAGTCACGTAAAGCGTGCCCATGTATACACTGAATACACAGCAACCTTTCGCTGTGAAGGCTGAAGGCGTGAACTTCGTAACCATAGGGGCATTACCTCAAAGTTCTGAAAAATCAAACACCGCAGTTCCGTAAACACGGATTTTATATACTGTACCAAAGCAACAAATCAGCAGAGAAGATAACATTAACACTGATACGGTGGACTACGTGATCTCCTGTGCTATCCTTAAGCAAAGCACGTTGTCACGTCATTCTCTGCAGACAACGAGCACGGCGAACAGCGAGGCTGAGGCAGGGCGCCTGAGGAAGCGGACCGCAGGAAGGCACCGCGCGGCCGGACGCGGGCAGATCCGCGGCAGCGCCGAGTGCAGCAGCAGCAGCAAACGGCCAAGCTCCCAGCCTGCGCGAGGACTAACTCGCTTTCTTCGCGCATCGCTGCCAGCAAGCACCATGTCAGGCCACAAACGCGTCACGGCCAGACAGGTTCGTGAATCCCGCAAGGCGCTATTTACGTGGATACAGCGGAGAAAAGTAACAATTAATTTAAAACGACTCTGGCTGCAGGCACTGTACGCGCTGTCACCGGGCTCGCCTCAGCAGAGGGCTGGACGAAGGCAGCGCTGCCTGCCCGCGCCGTGACCCCGTGCCCCGACAGCGGGCACCCACCCAGCAAAGCGGACGCGTCTGCAAGAAGCCAACCCACGCCGCCCCTGTAGAACCGACTCCTGCCGCGGCACTCAGCGATGCGGGCAGGAAAGGGCGGATCAGCATCCGGGCTCTCGGCGGGGGAGCGCACTCACTCACCTATCATGGCGGCCGGGAGAGGAGGGGAGAGGAGGGGGCGCGCGCACGCTCCTAGGCCCGCTGCTCGAGCAGTCCGAACCCGAACAGCCTCACAACGCGAGCGGTCGGGGGAGGAAGTGCAGCCGGCAGCGAACTGCGCGTGCGCCGCGGGGCTCTCTGGGTAACGTAGTTCTCGGGTTCTCGCATCGCCTCACGTGCTGCCGGCTTTCCCCGCGTGGACACACGGACACACGCACACACACGCGCGCACGTGCGCGAGCACGTGTAACTGATTTCTGCTAACTGCCGTGTCCCGCCGGTTTCCCGCGCGCCGTTCATTTCGCTGCCTTTGGCGTTCCTCCCCGCCCGGCAGCGCGGCGGTTGTTGACGCGTTGCTTAGCGACGGGCGCACCGCCCGGCCGGTGGCACAGGGGTGAGGGGGAGCGCACGGGGCGACCGGCGGAGAAGCGGGGGCTGCGGGGACAGCGGGACGAGCCGGGGGGCGAGGGCGGCGGCTCGAAAGAGCGGGAAGAGGGCGAACGCGGCGGTGCCGCTGGCTGCGGGACGCGAGGGACGGCTCGGTGCTCGGGTAGCTGACCGGGGCCGGCCGTTGTTGTTTGTGCTTTTGCAGTCCGCGTGCCGATTCTCGCCCGCTGCGGGGAGATGGTAGTGGAGGAAGCGGGCTGCGGCCCCGCCAAGCCCGCGGGGAACAGGCGGCCCCAGAAGCAGGAGCCGCTGGGACACGTGAAGAAAAGCAAGCAGCTGGTCTCTGACGGCTTCACTGTCAAAGCCATGATGAAAAACACTGTGGTACGTTTGCGACTGGCGTAGCGGTGTTAAGTAGCGCCCTCAAACGTGTCCTCTGGGCGGGGAGCAAAGCCTGCCAGGCAGGGGTGTGGGTGCTGGAACTGCTTCTGGAGTTTGCCGGTTGCTACGGCTGCTTGCGGGTTTCACGGGAGCGTTCGCACCAAGTAACGGCCCGTGCCTGTGGAAATGGAAGCGCCTTTCTTTCTGCGAGGTCCTGCGGTGCGCGGTACGGGCGCTGTGCTGGCTGTCAGCTGTGCAGAATGCTGCCAGGCGATGCTGTAGCACTTTACGTGTAAGCTGCTTGCACGTAGTGACACAGCGTGGGATATGCTTGGTGCACGTGTCACAGAGGATGGCAAAGATCTGAAAAATACAGTCATTTTTAAACTAAACTCTTCTAAACTAAACTAAACTTTTCACACAGAATGCTAGCCTGTGGAGGAACTAGTTCTCCATTTAATATTTCAGAGGCTAAGAGGAATGGATCCACCAAACTTCATCATCATTAATAACCCACTTTCTAATGAACTTAGAGGTAAATCAGTGAAAATAATGGGATCAAGGCCATTCAAATTGCTTTGTGTTATTTGTCTACATTATCATACTTAAGGAAAAAATACAAACAATTCAACTAGTGCAGAATGCAAATGGTCTCCTGTAAATGAAGGAATTGATATGAAACTCCTGAACTGGATCTGGATTTCCCTTTATTTAGACACAATTCAATGTTTTAACTAACTAATGTTTTTTCTCTTTTTTTTTTTTTTTAAGCCATGATCATTACTATATATATCATTCTGATTTCATCTGTGAGACATATTTCCCTTGTTTTGCTATAGCATTCGTCTTTTTGAGGTCTACAGATTTGTTATCTGTAAGAACACCCTCTTAAGAAAAGTTAAAAAATGCATGTTCTGTTCCATTTGAAGTTTAAATGGAACAGAAATTCTGTACATAAACAACTTTCTTCATATTAGTAAAATGAAAGCTTGTTTCACCTTAGTGGGAAGAATGCAAGGCTAAAACAACTCAAGGAGTGTTTTATAGATTGTTTAGTTTGTTTGGTTTTAATTCTGTAGATGTGGAATAAACTGAGCTTAGGGATTAATTTTTAAGGACTTTTGCTCTTCTCTGTATAAAATTCAAGTCATTATTACTTATATGTGTTTGTTTATATCTTGATCTTTAAGAGATACTTGATTTAGTCTAGAAGAATCAGTGGTTTCAACAGGATTTGAGAAATATATGTATTTTGTTTCTAAAAAGAGAGACTTGACTTAGGAGCATAACTACCTATCACTTTAATCAGAATTCCAGTTCTCTTTTAAAAATGTCTAAAATTTTAACCTTTATGGTCATCAGTTCTAACTTTCTAAACATCAGAATATTTAATCATATGTTGCTATCACTGAGCAATAGCAAACAGGCAAACTTACTGCCTTTGGAGCCACTCATTGGATCATGTTTCATGTTGCTTGCATGGGCCTCTGGACATCATCTAGTACAGCTTTCCTTTGAAACTGGGTCTGTCGCTAGCACGTAAGTACCCCTCTCTAAGCTGTGGAGATCTCCAGCAGCGGTGGTTCTCTGGTCTAGCTGGGAAGCTGTCATGTTGCTACCCTGCCTATGTGCTGCTGTGGTGCTCTGTTGGAGATAGGCTTAACTGAGTTCTGACCCATTCCACAGGTTCTTTTCCTAACTCCCTGACTCCCTAGGAAGCAGTGAGACTGTTTGAAGTCCAAGGCTGTTTTTTTTCCAGAAGTTCTGAGTGAGGACAGGCAGACAGGAATTATTTCCCTGGGGTCAATGTGCGAAATGTCAGAATAGAGTAAGGATTATCTCACTGCCACTGAGCCTCTGTAGAAATGAGAGTTTCTTTTCTCTTTTCCAACAACAGAGCTTAAGATTTATTAAGTACTCACTTGTCAAAGGTTGACATCATAGATGAAGTTGTCATGGAAGGTTTAGGAGTTGATTGGTGGGTTAAAAGCACAGCAAGCTAATATAGTTAAAGCATGGCAATTCTTTTTAACAGCATGACAGGACATGTTGTTGTCAGTGACTTGTTCAGCATCTCCAGGTCAGACTGTGAGGTACAGATTAATAACCTTTGGTGCAAATATGCAGTGAAAAGGGTATAGGTTAATGAATTACCATTATGCACCTATGACTGTGGATATAATAGTAAAGGTTCCAGAGTTCTTTGAAGTTTCTTGTGGTGGGAATGTCTTACTAAGGCATTTTTTCATGGAAGTTGCTGGATAAAGTTTTTTTCTGAAGTCTGTTTTCATAGCTGTATAACTACAGAAATGTAGGCATCAGGTGACTTTTATAGAATATTCAGGACTTTCCTAATCTCTGGCATGTTGCATCTTAAATTTACTAATTGAAATACATTACTTAATAAATATTCACCAAGAAAAATGTTTCAGAATTGAAAAATGTGTTGTATGTTATTTCCTTCTAAAATTAGAAATTTGTATAGTGGTTGAATTTAGGAGCAAAATCCAATAAAGGCCTTCTATACTAACAAGCTAGATACTATGACATTTACATTTTAATTGTTCTGTCTTCCAAGTAGAGTCAAGAGTGCCACGCTGTGTGCTCACAGTACACCTGTACTGCATGAGTAGAATTAAGATTAAAATTAAAAACTTATATGCAAGGTATCAAATACGATAATATCTCTACATGAACATGGACAGCAGGAAGATACCTTTATTCGCTTCTGATCCTCTGCAGACATTTGTCTATTTTTCCTATTTTCTGTAACTGTACATACTTGGGGAAATAAAGTAGTAATGCCCACTTTTCTTCTATAAATTAGTGGTAAAATACTTGCAAGGAGAGGGTGTATTTAGTGTACATCATTATTAACTATAATGGATCTGGTATTTTTTAGTAGAATTGGAATGTAAGACATCTCTTCATGAATGCTGAGCCAATATAGCAATGAATTAATGTTCCTGACTTTGCTGTTTCTAAAGAACCTTGAATTCTTTACACTGAAATGCCAGTTTCATCAGAAAAGACAGTTATCCTTTCTCTACCGGTCCTCCTTTAGTGACACTAGTGGCAATTATGTTGGAGTGTCCATCTGCACAGTATCAGTCTTACCTCCTTTGACTAGAGTACTGAATTCAAATCTCCTTCCTAGCTGTATGTGAAAACCAATAGGTTTTATATAGAAGACATCACTAGTGCATCCATCCGTGTGTTCCATGAAAGCAGTCAGTACCTGCTGCTAATAAAGGATCACATCTATCTTGTGTTTAAAGCATAACGTAAGAATGTTTACTAAATGGACATAGAAGGGAGGTGGTACTAAGAATTGTTTGATTTATGTATTACAAAAAATGCAAAGCATAGCTATTCAACATGGGAGTCTCTGCTATGTGCAGAAACACAGCTCCCATCTCCAAAAAGAATGTAATTGTTTAAAAGTAGAAAAAAAAAAGTTATTTAGATTACAGTCCTGGATTTTCATTCCTCTATTTCTCATTTAGGAGCCTGTATTGGAATGAACTCTCAGTCTTTGAAGTTTAAACTTCTTCAAACAATTATCAGCACTGAGTATAGAGGACATTCTCACCCTTTGATAATAATTCAGAGCAAGGATTTCTTTTTAACCACAGAGATAATATGATTTCATTTAAATTCTGATACTTCTAATTATGTATTTTTTTTCATATTTGCTCACTCTGTGTCACCAAAACTACTTATTTTATTTAAGTTGTAACAGTGTCTAATCTGATTTTATGACTATAGAAAAGCGCTATTTGCAAGAAGAAAGTTTTACATTTCTACTATAGTAGTTAATTTATTAAAAAGATAGTAAGTTTTGGAGCATGTAATGTCAAACTAAAGGTATATTTTGTTAGATGTGTATCGGACAGTAGTATGTATGTTTTTGGGGAACTGCTTTAGTTCAGCAGTTTTGTACAATCTACTTTAGTGAACTGTAATGGAATTTATTACTCTGGGAGGCAGTCCTATCTTCTTCCTGCTTCAGGCTGTTTATTGCTCCTGTTGCATATTGTGCCCACATTTGTACAGCAGAGCAAGTTGGACATTTGTACAAGATCAGGGAACTGATTCTGCTGAACAGTACTCCGTCTTGTTTAAGCTAAGTGTAGATATGTGGTCTTCAGGGCTGAGGCAAGCAAAGATCCTTATTGCCACAAGGCTCCTCATTCCTGCCTTCCTACCTGTCCTGAAAGCATGCTTCTGTCACTCCTTTTGTGTTTACACTGGTGTTTCTTACAACTACACTGGAAGCTGGATAAACTCTTAACAGCTGGTAAATTAATACTGCAAGAAGGACTGTGTTGTAAGCATAAGCGTTAGCCCTTACCTGAAACATCTCAGTCTTAATTCACTTAAAACCAGTTGTGAAACTAAGTTTTAGCAGAGTAATTTCACAAACACCTAAAGCAGCGTAAACTTGCACTACATCTGAAAATTGTGATTTTTTCATCCCTGGTCATCTGTTCTTCCTTTATGCAATATGAACACACGTGTGGCCATGCAGTGAACTAGGCTAGGGTGTAGTTAAACCTAGATTAAAAGCAACATTTTTTTTTTTTTGTAGTGCAAACTTAACTTACAGCTCATAATGGTGTAAAGTAACGAATCTGAGGCTGCTACACCCCTGCCTGCTTCTGCTGCATTCCTGCCTCCTCTGTAACACTACTCATAGTTTTGCTGAATCAGTTTTCACTGAATCAGTGAGGCACTTTGGTTGCATTAGATCCCAACATGAAAGACTTCAACACAGTGTTTTTATATCCCTTCAGAAATGGAAATAGTTGTGTTGCTTTCCAATCCTATTTCTTTTACCATAATGAGCACTTTAATGTAGTATAGTGACCATGATAGCATAATGTAAAAGCAGAACACATGAAAAACACTTAATGCTTAAGGTCATAATACCTTCTGAGAACCTTTATTTTGTATTATGTTTTCCAGCTGTAATTTATGTGACTTAATCATACTGCTTTTTG